ACAAACAAACAAACAAACAAACAAACAAACAAACAAACAAACAAACAAAACAAGCAAAACAAACAAAACAAACAAAACAAACAAAACAAAACAAGCAAACAAAACAAAACAAACAAAACAAAACAAAACAAACAAAACAAAACAAACAAAACAAAACAAATCAAACAAACAAACCCCCTACTATGGTAGACCTGTTGGTGCGGTTCCTCCTTCATTGCCCCCGTTTCTGGTCAGATCCATGGCCCCGCACAGCCGTGGAAGTTGTGCCATGCTGCTTCTGTGCCGATCTTTGGTGCAAGCCACCAGTCGATCTGAGCGAAAAGGACGATCGATCGACTGGATGGCAGTCGTTTTGAGGTGAGATCGGGGTGAGATCGGGCATAAAGATCTTACGTCATGTTACGACAAACAAAAGGGTGGATGGAAGAAGTCTCATTATTTGGACAACTGTTTTGTGCTTTCGCTTTGGAGGCCCGAAACTTTCCACCACTATCGTTCCGAATCTTGGGTGTGAGAGAACGGAGGAACAAACCGTTTAGCTGGGCCAGTTTTTTGGAATGTGCCAGACATGTTATGAAACATATTCGAAGAGACGACGGAGCCAAAGCGTATGAAGCGTTGCCGGGGGCGGTCGAACTGACCGAGACCGAGAACGAGACATATCGCTGCATTGCCTGAGTTGTCGGATGTCCACTCCAACAAACAGTTCTACTCTCCAAAACAGTGACATTGAAGGCTGCTTGTAGAGAAAAATGGTCTTCCAGGGTCCTATGCTCCACTGCCATGAACACTTCGGGGGCGTTCGCCGCCGCGGCGCGGCGTGTATTTACCATCCCGCACCCATCTCGCCCATCCAAACCCACACCCAGGGGTTCCCTCAATATACAGTGGTCCCTCAATAGATAGAAGTTCGTAGATCCCCACTGTAGAAGATGTGTGGGAAACCGTGCCACGATCTATTAAGGGGGATCAAAAAAGTCCTCACAAAAAAGGTGTCACATAGGCCCTATGTAGGGAAGAATCAAGGGGGTCTTGTGAGGGGGTATGTGCAAAACCCCTAGGCCCTAGACTTTGTCGCGCCCGATCCGATCCGTCCCCAACCGCAGCGTCCGTCCCCGTCGTTCGGCCTGGTGAATTTGGGGTCCGGTCTCGGGGCCCCTGTCAATCGCCTCAAGCCGCCTCACACGGGGGAGATCAGACCGAAGACTGGGTGATCGTGTCTGACTGGTCTGACTGGTCTGGTCAGCCCATACCCAGGGCATCGGCACACCTACGTGCCCAGTTCGGTGAGCCAGCCCATCGACCGGACCGGAAGACGGCCCCTGATTCCGAAGGTCTTTTGGGGTCAGTGGGATCCACTACCATAGGCTTCGCATGGCTTCGCGACCGCCCAGCGGGAGTGATGGATCCATTGGGATCCGCCCAGCGGGTTTCCAGGGATCCATTGGGAACGCCTGCGAGTCGGTTTTTACTCTCTGGGAAGCAACCTGCCACAGAAGAGAAGGGGAGCGTGGCACCAGGTGGTGGAAGATTCTACAAGTCAGGAATTCGTCCAAGCACTGGAGATTCTTCTAGATTCGTGGGATGAGGAAAACGATCACTTGCCACCATTCACCAAGCCCAATCCCAATGAGTTCAAACCTCCCAGCCACCCACGGCCTCAGATGCCTCCATAGGTACATCAGCCGTTGCAGGAACCTCTCTGGCTGCATTCGCCTCTTCAGCTACCATCGCCTCTGCGCTTGCCTTAGCTTCCTCAGCAGCTTTGGCCTCAGCAACCTTGGCTTCCTCAGCAGCCTTCGCCTCTGCCGCAGCCCGAGCTACCTCAGCTGCCTTGGCTTCCTCAGCAGCCTTGGCCTCTGCGGCGGCCTTGGCCTCTGCGGCGGCCTTGGCCTTGGCCTGCGCGAAAGAGTCTGAAGGGGTGTTGCCCCTGAAACTGTCTGGATAAGACATGCTCTGTAAGTCTAGACAACTTTCGAGCTGAAGATCTAAGTAGCCAGCTGCAAGGAGAGTCTCGTTCACTTGATTTGACCAACAACTGTTTCTTTGATACTACAGTGGCGTCAAAATAGATGACACAACCCCCAAGATGTTCTTTAGATGAGAGATGAGGGTCCATATAAACCACCAAACTTGGGGATTGTGCCATCTATATACTCTGAAACCACTGCCATGTTTGTTTTGGCTACCCGCTTGCCTGGCTTGCAAAAGAATTAAGAATGATGCTCACTTGAGACGTTTGCGACTCGACCCCCGAATTCGTAACGGGCGGATGAGTATAGCTAGATCTTCCAAGTGTGCAAAATGTCTATATACATGTTCATCTATAAAACCAGTCAATTCAGGCAGACATGTTGCATAGTTGGAAGATTCAGGTATCCCAGACTCCCAGACAGTCCATCCGACCATCCATGTGACTGGAATAGTTACAGTACTTACATTGGGGTCATTTTCATTGGGGACTGGAGGAAAATCAGGCGCTTTTTGTGATTGGGCTGGACATGCACCACTGGTGAATCGTGGTGTTGAGTCTTCCCCGAATTCGCCTGAGTGACCTCGGACCGCCAACCACCCAAACAGGTCTTCTCCTATCAAAACACAGGCCATGTCTGGGCTCTAGTTCCCCACTTGGAATCTTTCAAGTGATAAAAGGAAGAGAACCACCAAAACAAAAGGCAGAGATGGCTTTATGGTCTCGAATGAGATGAAAAAAGAGACCACTCTGCAGTTTTTCGTTGAGAAAGCAAGACATCAAGCCAATAGTTGGGGAGGCCTCTCTTTTACTTTCTGTTGAGCAAACCGGATCGGTTCGTTTCATCCGACACGCCTCCGCAGCCAACTCGCGCTGACGCTCCTTGGAGGGACGCTCCTGGAGTTCAACGGCAACTCACCGGTGGGTTGACGGACTGAACTTCAACGGCAAGGCTTCCGGGTCCCAAAACGGACTCCCGGTCGTCAAGTCAAACATGGTCAAGAACTGTTTGGGCAAGGGCCTAAGAAGCCTATCTAGCTCTTGACCAGCCTGGAGGTGTGAAAGTGGATTCCAGCTTGCTAGTGGGATCCGGCTTGCTCCCCACCTTGAGTGGGTGTCATTGTTGATGTTCAGACACTGGCCGAGACATCTCACCTGTGGTGTAGCACCAACCTGTCAACCTCAAAGGCACCGGCATCCGGTTCGGCTTTCCGTGTCACGAGAGGTCAGGACTCACAACGAAGTGCGGGTGCGGTGCTGAAACATGCGTTGCGCCAGGGGCCCCAGGGTCAGGAGTCTCGAGGAAAGTGGCAACTAACAAGAAAAAGTCACGCATGCACACACCCGAACAAGCCCAAACAAGCCGAACGCCGAACGAGATCTGGGGCTTATTCTGAAGACCGCAGGTTCAACTGTTCACATCGGAGAGTCGACAAGCTGTCGGTCGAAACATGAGTAGCTCAATAGCAATGAGCCGCCTGGATTTCCCCTCAAACAACATCACAAAAGCTAAAAAGATTCCACAAAAGTACAACAACCCCCCCAAAAAGAGCTTTTCCTCCCCTGAAAAGAGCTGCCCCAAACAACCGCCGACCCAAACGACCGCCTCTTTTTTGGGCACAGGATTTGCGCCGCGGGCTCATCCCAGCTCGGTGAAACGGGGGCGGAACGAGTCCTTCCCGGTGCAGGGCGAGCCAATGGACCGGGCGAGCTGCCTGAAGTGGTCTGCCTGTGGGCCTGGTCTCGAGGTGTTCCACGAAGACACATGGGTTGTCCCCCCCCTTTTCAACCATCACAACTGATCGGTAAAGATGCCAACACCCCATGGAGTGTCAGGGTAAAGATGAGATGATGAGATGTGATTCAGGAGAATTCAAGTGGAAAAACCACAGCTGCCTTCCCCAACTCGCCCCTCACCTCTGCGGTTCGGAAACAGGCATCTCTCATTGGACAGGTGCCTGTGATAGACTCCGCATGACTCATCAGACACAGCCATCGACACAGCTACGACGAGCATGGAACCCTTTAACAAACTCTGCCATGTTGTTGTTTCTACCTCGGTCAAAGCCTAGCGGTGCTGCTTGAGCGGCTGCTAACTAGCGGCCCTAACTCCGAGATTCCTCCCTTTTCGCGCCCTGTTAAACGAAGGTGAAGACATGACCGAAACATGGTGGGATTTCCAAAGATCTGGCAGGAATCTGGGGATGTCTCAAAAGCATCCTCTGAAAATTGTCTCTCCACTCTGAGCTGGATAGACTACAGACTCTTCCCAGGCTGTCAAGGATCTTTGAGACATACCCCTGTCAGCTGGGTGGCTGGGTCATTCGCTTGCAGTGACTGTTGATTCCGCCCTGCACAACTGGCGCCGAAAAAAATTTCAGCACACGTTGAGGCGGCAGGGGTGAGAGAGTCCGACCGAGCCGCTCATTCCACTGGCCTTGGTGGTCCAGTCGCAGGGGCAGACGAACACTTCCAAACTCAAGAGGCACAACACACCCAGTGGCTGGTGGGAGGAAAGAATGAAAAAGACCAAAAATCAAAGACCGATTTTAGGGCCTTTGATTTAGGTCAGTCGAAAAGAAATGCTTGCATGTCGCGGTGTTCAGTCGATTGTTTCTAAACAATCCTCAACACTGCTTCTAAGACCGCCATGGCAGCCAGATCGCAAACGATGGAACCGAACATCACACAGGTGTTTTTCAGATGCACGTCTCAAGTCCGCTGAACATTTCAGGCGCCACCGTCCGATGTTCGCCCCCCCCAGATCGTTGTCGGTTTCGGTCCCTTGGAAAGGAGATATCTGCCAGCCGGTGACCCAAAACACTGGAACACCAAATTGTGACGTATGACGTATATGACGTATGCAATATAAAAATGGTATATGACGTATGTCCCTTGAACACCAAATTGTGACGTACACCACGGATCTGATGTGCTCCCATGAAATGGTTCGAAAACACGAGACCCAGCCCTTGAGACCTGCAGTTCTTTGGACTGATGATGCTTCACCCTAACGGCCGAACGAGACCGGCCGAACGGAAGAGGCCGGCCCCAGCTGACGGGTTGACTAGTTGAGGCTGCTTGGCTAGTTTGCATGGAAGGAAGTGGGAGCTGCGGCCTGGCAAAGAAGTCGCATATGCCAGTCGTTTCCACCCTAGCAGCAGCTGATCCTCAACAAATGTTTCTCCCGTCCGCCCCCTGATTGGAACAACACTAATTGAATCTATCTAATTGTAGGCTCATCTAGCCTGAACCGGGTGTCCTCCAAATAGCGAGTGGGTGTCCAAATTTCTACCCGTCCGGTAAACTCCAAAGCACAAGCTGGCAGCTTTTTCCACGGACTCGCAGAATTTGCTGCAATTTGCAAACAATCAGCACTTGCACCAATCACGTGGCATCCCATTCAAAACCATAATGATAGCAAATAGCACCAAGTTCAATTACCAGGCTCCATGCGCACATTGCAACCAAGCCAGCAGGTCAAAAGGTTGAATCTTCGCTTATGCTATTTTTCACTTTGATCGTCCATGTGACGCGATATTGTCCCCCCGCTACCACATCGCCTCAACAAGCCGCGGCTCTAAGAATCACGAAGCTTCAAGGCAACCTTCAACGGACGCGACCGTTTTACTCGAACAACTCTCACCTCGTCCTAAGGCCCTCCAGAAGCTTAAAGCTTCAAGAAGCACACAAACTCAAACAGGTTGTGGCTGCCAGTAAACGGGCACACCGGCTGCCAGCTAGCTGGCAGTCAAATAGCCTACCAAGGTTAAGCGCACCCAGCTCAACGCCCCGGCCCTTCTGCTTTGGTCTTTGTTGGAAACTGAGTAACTGAGGTGTCCTTACTGAACCAACACAATTTAACAGTAAAATCGTGACAAGTCCTTTATGCCAAACAGGTTTTGCAACACCTCATTACTCTAAGTGCAAAGCGGTTGGACCCTCTAGGTATACCAAGTGTTCGAGGTTTTCCTGGCCAAAAAGATTTGGCTGGCTATATTTTGACGGGTTTTCCTGGCCAAATGGATTTGGCTAGTCAAATTGTGACGGGTTTTCCCGGCCAAATGGATTTGGCTGGTCAAATTGCGACGGGTTTTTTAAAAAACCCATCACATTTTTGGTGGCCAAATCCATTTGGCTGAGTAGTTTTGCTCAGAAAACCCATCACAATCTGGAAGCTCAGCTGGCCCCAGAAAAGCGATGGGTTTTTTAAAAAACCCATCACAATTCCATAGGTTTTGGAAAAACCCATCACTTTTTGAAGTTGGGGATGAGCTGGAAAGTTTGACGGGTTTTCGTTTTCCTTATTTAATTGCGACGGGTTTTTCAAAAAACCCATCACATTTTGGGGCTGGGGCCCCGGTCTGAAACGTGACGGGTTTTCCCGGCCAAATCAATTTGGCTGGCAAAATTGTGACGGGTTTTCCGTCTCCAACTCATTCATTCCTGCAAGGCCCCATTGATCGAGCTTGGCCGAGCGCAAGGCACTGAAGCTTCGGGCGCACATTGCACCTACAAGCTTCAGGTGTTTGCATCCGACTGCTCCAATTATAATCTTCCAATCCAAGATCGTTGAGCCTCCGCTCCTGAGCACCAATACAAGGTAAATGTCAAACCGAGAAAGTTTCACGTCCAAGCTGGGCATATTGAGCAATCAGCATATAAGCGCAGTGGTTGGTGCTTCCAGCTGGCTCAGGCAATCCTCGAGGCCGCACAGACCTACATCAACACATGACTCCGCAGAGGGTCGAGAAAGATCTGGCAAATAGTGTGAAGTACGAGTTGGACCTATTGAAGTTGTCAAGGTCAAGCCTTTCTTTTTGCAGCTCCAACAGGTCCACGTTCTCCATCCAAGTGCTTTAAAAATCTTGAAGCGAAAGCTCTATCAAAATGTGGCGCAAAACTTTTGAAATCTGTGGCGCCAGAAGCGGTGGATTATGTTCGTGGTTGTGAGGAAGGAGATGGTCTCTGCAGACTCTTCACACGTAACGTTTCCATCATCATCATATCTCCACGCTGGCATGGCTGCCCACTACGAAGAAATCTAAATTCTTGAAGTTCCATGACTGTATATATAGGTCAGTCTTGAGTGTATCAGGCGCATGTGGATGTTGCCTCATTCTTAGAGCTCTTTGCTCCCAAGCAGGACCAAACAAACTACATGGCTGTGTTACATGTTTTTAACGGAGCCAGCAAGAAACTTGACAACAAGGTTCTATTCCAAATCAAACACCCACTTGCTATTTGGAAGACACCCGGCTCAAGCTAGATGAGCCTTTGTATAGATTTAAGTTTAAACAAATGCATGTTATATCCTGAAATCAGTTCCTGATCGCATCAACCCTTTTGTTGAAAGCCCTGGAAAAAAAAAAAGGAAATGAAAACCCCCTGCCCTCCAAACTGGGCCCGGTTTTTTCACACCGGACGAATCACCCAAATCACTTCATCAGCGCAGCTCTCGGTGCCCTTCCCTTTCACCGGTTTCCGTCACCACGTCGCGCGGTCTTCGTCCAGGCAGCTCGTTGCACTTGGCCGAGACCTCTGAGGGAACGGTCCAGATGAGGATGGCGCCCTGGCGAGCGACCGAGGGCGGCGTGGACGGCGGCGGAGTGCTCACGGACGGACGGACGGACGTCACGGCCGGTGGTTAGACAGAAATGGAATCAGCGAAGAGGAAGTGTTACAGCTGAAGTTGAGGATGATGTGTTACATCTGTATTATACCATGTGTTTCATCATTGTTCTGTAAGTGATGAACACACACCCTGGTCAGAACTGGGATGAGTTGGTTGCGGTTGGGGAGCCCACTGGACTCAAAGATGTTGCTGCAAAACCGGATCGGCGAAGCAGGCCCAACGGGGAAGGAGCAAATGTTGTCGGGCTGGAATCGTTCACCCG